ACGGTGAAACGACGAAAACAAGCCCTTAAACACAGCACTGCCGCTCGGTAACTGGAATCGCACTCATAAAGTGCTCCGCGCGCCGCACTTCCCAGGCTTGTCACATCTTTATTAGTGCTTTAATCGAAGTGAAATTTTACAGGAGTCTTCTCTACAGTATGTACTATCGATCTACCTCTTAAAATCTAACTTTTTCCAAACTTCACTTTTTCGATTTATTGCCGCTTAAACCGGCTATTCGCACCATAGTGCGCCGCGCCGCGCCGCGCCGCAGCGTACCACGGCGCTTGAAGCAACTATTTCACACCAGAAGTATTGCATAGTATCATACAAAATTGCAGGCGCTCCAACATGTTAGGAATGGCAGGCATCCTTCAAAAGTACGGAGCGTTCCTTGCAAAATAAATCAAGATACTACGGCCCAAAAAGAGAGCGGTAGTCTAAAAATTCACCAAGTCCTAGCATCCGTAATTAGTAACGCTTAGCTTACACTTTATCGCCAGGTTGTTGCTTAGTCGCCATCGGCTATAAAAGGCTATAAGAAATTGTGTTGCCGGCTACAGAAGCTATTGGAAATCTTACAGCCGGCTGTAGGTCTATGGTGTTTTGGAACACAGATTCTACTGCCAATTTTTACCAGTGCGTTGAGGTCACGCCGAGAGATCTAAAACGTTTTAGGTCCTTTTACACCTCATCAGTAGATCACACCCGTTAGAGAGCCCAGCTTAGCATCCCGCAAAATTCAAGACGGCATCGAAACGCCGGCGTCATATAAATATCGACTCTAGTTGAAATTTCTGACATTTTTGGCCTTGTTTCCCTGCTAAATAGCAAGGACCCAGCATTATTTTACCACTTTGTTACATACAGTTTCAAGCCACGTTTTGAGTGTATTTGCCGAAGGAAATACACTACTATGCTCTCCCGAACTCAAATCGGCTTAATGACGACGGCTTTTCCCATTTAAACACATGAATTTCAGCAGATTAGATTATTTTGTCATATCTCCTCCAATAATTGGACGTTCCTCTGTTAAACGGAACTAAGCGCCAAATTGAGTTCCATTTGAGGATTTTAGAATCCCGGACAGCGCGTTCTGTCAGACGGAACTAAGCGCCATGGAAAAGCATTGCGAGTATAAGACGGAACGAGCATCGTTTCCCGCAACAGCCGCGAGTCCGTGCCCCCTCTCCGTTCCTCCCCCTAGGGCGCTTAGTTCCGTTTGATAGAAATACGTCCAATTGTTGAATTCATGAACCAAGGGTATCTTCGCGATCAGTTCACTCAGTAGTTTCCACTTAAACACGACATTCATCAAACAGACACATGCAAATTCTCTATTCTTTTAATCAGTCATGGTCATTCGATATCGATCCAACAATAGAGCCGCTGAGTGGTTGCCATAGAGTACATAGAGTCGTAATGTAAGTGGGAGAGCTGGCGCCACTTTTAAGCATTTTCCATGTCCCGAATTCCGAGACTCCTGTGTGACGCCGGGTCACTTTTTTGATACATAATCGATTGTTTGCGATACACGGGTACCCGGCCATCCGATGACAACAACAACAACAACAACAACAACAACAACAACAACGACAACAACAACAACAAGAACAACAACAACAACAAAGGAGATAGGAATTACCACGTATTCCACACCGCCATTTTGGATCGAAAATGTATCGAAAAAGCGACCCGCACTCGGCGCACACCGGGCTCGGAATTCGTCGAGCAGAACATGGCGCCAGCTCTCCCATTTACATTACGACTGTATGTACTCTGTGGTGGTTGCTCAGGTAGGCCAGGCTTGTGCCTCCTCCATCTTGGAGGCTATGTTTTGTTAGCGTGTTCTCTATTGTAAATGAGATCTTGCATTCGTAGGTATGTTTCGTAAATAAATAAATAAAAACTAGATAGATAAATGGATAAATAAATGAATAATTATTGACCTCATCTTAACAGAATTTGCTTCCTCGTAAGTCCATGACGGTGATTCCGGTGTCGGTGTCCCACGTGGAGGCGAAGGTGGGCGGTAAGGTGGAACTTGAGGCGGACGGGAAGGTGAAGGCGGAGGTTGAGCTTGTGAGGCCAAGAATTCTCTCGCGAAATCGCCCTCTCGCCTGGACCCCTCCGCTTGCGGACAGAATCTGAACTCCAGTTGGGCGAGTTTCAGAGCGATTGCATCTTTATCCACAGCGCTGAGCCCTGCTTCGGTGTCGAGCGAACAAAGTTTATTCCTCACCCCTTTCAACTCTGCTCTTAGTTCCCTTTGCTGTTCTTTGGGCAACCCGCCGGGGCCGTGTGGTAGAGTGCAAGAGTCCCTCATGAATCTGCTGATGTCTGAATCTTGACTCACCAAGCTGCCGGCCTCGCTCCTGCTGTCGTCTCTGTCGGATCTGTTACTCCGCGATACACTTCTATCCTTGTCCCTGAAGAAAAGGGAGAGATCAATGGAGTGGATTTAACCGCGCACCCTCCGCGGCAATTTCCTGCGGGCTGATTATTGAAATTTATAGACACAGCGATAGACAAAAAGGACATAGGAAGTATGGAGCTAACCTATTGGTTAAAATGTGTGGTTCCTATAGACTAAGGAGAAAATGATGGACTAACTGTCGGGTCTCTAGTGGGTTTCCGTTAGTTAGTCTATCACCTACGTCCTTTGTCTATTGCAACCATTCGCTTCCATCAATAGGATCCCTCCATATCCCTTTTTTCTTCTTTGTCTGTAGCTTTGTCTATCAATTTCAATAATCGGCCCGCTGAGCAGACTGATTCAGTAGATGTGTCATTCTGCTTTTTTTTTTTTGGAGAGGATCTTCCTGCGCACAGAATAATGCGCAATGTAAGTGGTACCTGATGGGTTTTAAATGCTCTCCAATCTCCAGTTTACGTTTGTATATTAATTAATTGCCAGCCGAAATACTTGTCTAAAAGATGATGGAGGATTTATATGAACAATAATAATTCAAATTCTTCAACATTTTCGAGGAAATCTCCTCAACAGTCGTACTCCACACGTGGCAATTTTGGAGTTTTAGCAGACATGTGTTCCTATACGTATACAAAGATATTCATTCAACCTTCATGAGCCTTGCACAAAAAGGGCCAAAAATGATCCATTTTTGGGACCTTGGAAATTGCGGTCTACGTGTTTTTTTTTTGTATTTTTGTTTTTTTTTTGTTTCTTCTTCATCTTTAGGATGATACTTTACAAAGGCTAAAATATCAGATTTCCTACATAAAACGGNNNNAAATATAAGGGGGGGGGGGGAGTTCTCGATTTTTACTAATTCAGCAAGTTTTTAAATGTCAAATTCCGGCTGTGACACGTTACCTGATTTAGCTACTTCAACAAGGTATGCGGTAATTTTATCAACATTTTCTGGTGCATTTTTAACATCATATACAAACCCTCGCCTACTCCCCCTGGATTGTCTTTTTCTGACTTTTAATTTATTCGTTCTCTTCTCTCCACGCGGCAGTTGATGATACGGTAATCCTATACTATTAATATTCTAAACCCCATCAGGGTTTTCCATTTTTAAGATATACTTAACTCACTTTAATACCCCTTCCTTCTTTAACCCTTTTAATCCCCTTCCCACCAATCAAACCCTTCTTTTCTAGGGCATTTTTCTGAACGGCAGATATGACGGTATTTTGTATTAGAGGTTATTCTTTTTTTTTGAAATTGACGTACTTTCATTCCGCTGGGATTAAGGTGATTCGATGGACGCTATATTTTGTGTCAGATTGACATGCGATATATCGCATCAATTAGTTCCAGTTTCTCAGCTACTTGTCATTTTTCTCGAATTTTGAGATCGCAATTCTGTTGTCAGGAGACTAAAGAATTCACTCACCAATTTTGATAAAAAAAAAAAGTTAACTTAATAAAGGCGCGGTTTATTCGTAGGAAAAATATAGCATTCGATACTGATATCGAAACTGCACTCAAATGCGATATTTTTTCTCTAAAAAAAACCACGCCTTGATTACGTTGAATTTGTTTGTCATGATGGGTGAGTGAATTCTTTGGTATCCCGAGAACAGGATTGCGATCTCAAAATTGGAGAAAAATGACGAGTAGCTGAAAAAATGGAACCAATCGATGCGATATATCGCATGTCGTTTTGACACAAAATATGGCGTCCATCGAATCACCTTAAAACCTCTATATGACACCGTCGCAAGAAACGAAATGGACATATTTCTATCAAACAGAATTATGTGCAGGTGAGAATTTGGGGTGTGCTCGTTGGCTCTCTGGCCGTAAGAGTAAATGAGAATAATAAAGCGCCAGTCACGTCGCGTCGACGGAGATGGAGTCGGGTTTGACAAACTCAGGCTGCACTTAGCCTATTTAGAATGCCCCTAAAATATAGGCAACATCCGTGATGTATATATATATATATATATATATATATATATATATATATACATATATATAACGAAATAGCCTATCTACCTTGGTTTGACAAACTGAGGACACCCAAAAACGAGTATGTTTTAAAAACATTTTGACTTTGTCTTAGGAAAGATATTTGTATAAAGACGAATAATAAATGTTTTATAGCTATCTTTTATAGATGAATGGATTTACACTTGTTTTCAAAAATGTTTAATAAATGTTGCAAAAACTTTTTTCTGAAATACGTTGGAAAATGAAGAGGGAAGTTGCTTAAAACATGTTTTTAAAAACCAATTTTTTAAAAACAACTTACCTACACATGAATATATAAACTATCATATAAATATCTTTTCATAAATAAACATACTTTTTAAACGAGTAAAAAACGTTTTTGATTTTTCTTTGACTCCGACGAAAGATTATATGTTTTTCTAAATGTTTTTAAAATATTATTTTTTTTAAAGCAACTGTAAAATATTTTTGAGTAACAATTAATAACTAGTTTATTGACCTCTAAAAAACAAGTTATAAACATTTTATAAACGCGTAAATGTCCCCCTTACTTGTCTCCAAAAATATTTTGAAGATGTTTTTAAAATGTTTCAATTTCTTTTTGATTTTTGAAAAACATCCTCGGAATATTTTTTTTGTTTTTAAAGATACTTTAAAAACATTTTTTAAACATCAATGTGCTATTAAGGGTCGTCCCGCCTCCGCTCCCGCCTTAACTCATGAGCCCTGTCCACAACGCTCTCGTGCCATGCCCGAGGCTCATGAATCCCGCATTCAGTTGGCACATAGTTCTCTTTGCTCAATTTAAAATCCCACTTTTCCATTTTTCCAAAAGGAACCACGCCCACTTTTGCATGGTTTCTTATGCAGCTTTCTAGGGCACACCCCATATTTCTGACCTGCACATGGTTATGTTTGATAGAAATACGTCCAAAACAAGTATCAACCGAAATGCGAATTTTCGAACATGTGTGCCCTTTGAGTCAGAATGATTTCTTTAAAATGTAATACCTGCTGCCGCCACCTATATGAGCAATTCCCTTTAAAGCGGTTACCGCGCCACTGAATTTTTTCTGAAACACACACACACACACACCACAATAAGTAAACGGCGATACAGATGAAGCAATCAGTCCATATTATTTGGTTCTTTTATCAGTTCTTGGCACTGAGATGACAGACTCTCCAAATAATACGAAAGGTCTTGTAGGTAATTAAAAACGTGTTGGCCGGTTTAAAACACTTCAAGTCTTATGGTCAAATGCTACCGGCAAGCTCCGATTTTCAAGCAGATCCAGGTCGGCCGAAGGGATACTCCGGCAAACTCCGATCTTTTATTTACTCCTGAAATGGCTGGCTGCACTACGCAACTTTCCTTTGCCACTTACGTGGGTTTGCCTAACTGCTTTAAAAAAAAAGGTCTACATTGTGCAACATGGGCGATGCACGGTCAAAAGAATGAACGTTTTTATTGCTAAACGTCAATCCCCACAACCGAAGAATCCATCCCTTCCACCGAGAGGCCTGCTACCAATAACGTCGCTGACAATTATTAAGGCGTCTAATTTGTGAGGGGGGGAGTTCTTATGCTCCAATTTCTGGAGGGGGAGTCAATACTTGGGAGAAAGTCGAAATCTTAGGGGAGGGTCAAAAAACGAGCCCCCCCCCCCCACTTCAAAAGTGAATAGCTGTTCGTATGAAAAACTCGGGTTGGGCACCACTGGACTTTGAACAATAAAGGGTGGGAAATGAACAATTGGACTGCATTTTGCGATTTGGACCTATAAATTCCGGCCCGGTTTAAAAACAACGCATGTGCCATGAGTTTCCCTATGCACATAAGTGTTTTTTCAGATGAGCCAGAATTTATAGGTCCAAATTGCAAAATGCAGTCCAATTGACGGTTCATCGCGACGGTCAGTTGGGCTGCATTTTGCAATTCGGAGCTATAAATTCTAGCTCATTTGAAAAAACACGTATGTGCATATGGAAACTAATGGCACATGCGTTGTTTTTAAACCGGGGCGGAAGTTATAGTTCCTAATTGCAAAATGTAGTCCAGTTGTAGAGTCAATCGAGTCATACAGTGGCGTGGCGTGAATTACGATACATCGATTGTTATGTCATTTAAACCTATGGAAAAGGATCGATAAATAGGGTGTTCGCAGCGAACACCTTAATAATAGATTCTTTACCACAGGTTTAACTGGCATAACAATCGATATATCGCAATTCACGCCACGCCACTGTGTCATACAATGCTTCATCCACCGTATTGGATCAACTAAAGCTTCTTGACAAGTTTTAAGTATGAATAAACTCTATTTTTGATCTTTATGATCCAGATTACGTTCAAAACGCTAATTGCAGAAATGCGTATCTCGTGATAAAATGTCATTTTCCAATCATACAATGCTTGTTTCGACCGTATGAGATCAAACTAAAGCCTCTGATAAGAAATTTTAAGCGCGAAACTCTATTTTAGGTCTTTAAATGATTAAAATCCGCAAAATGCAGGTTTAAAACAATAATTGAAAAAAATGCGTATCTCGTGATACTTAGTGTCAATTGGATTGCATTTTGCAAAAAGGAACCACTAGCATTGCAATGTTGCTAAGATTGTGCAACTTCTTATGTCTTGGAGGAAAAACCCGATTATCCATTAATAGTTTCTATTTTACTTGCTAAAAACTGTAAATTTAAGACAAAAATTACCATCTAAATTTCATAGTTTTTTACGATTTCCGCAATTTTATTGCAAAAGATGAAGTTGCACAATCTTAGCATCATTGCAATACTAGTGGTTCCTTTTTGCAAAATGCAATCCAATTCTTCGTGCCGTAAACGCAAATCTCGGCATTTCTGCCGTATCTTCTAACAGTTCGAGAAATTATTCAAAATACTGATGGAGTCGTTTGGAAAAGCATCTTATTCTTGCTGTCCTCAAGAATTATTACCATTCTACTGGCAACGAGGCGGAATACAGACAGTTTATTTCACCTGGAAAATCAAGTTTTCCGAGATACCTACGCTTTTCTGCACTTTTACCATCGAATTAAAAAAATCGTTCTACAAAAAATCGACCATTAAAGCCTTAAAATATAAGTTACAGTAAAACTGTTTCCAAATTTTAACCTATTTCAATGTATCAATAATATATAATTAAATAATTGATAATATAATAATAATTGATAAATTATAATATATAATTGATAATAAATTGCCTATTCTGTCATATGTTAAGATATTGAAAGATAATTTTTAGAGTGAATATCTCTTGGTGACTGATGTAGAGATTCAGATTTAAAATCTGTCGATATCACCCAAAGGACATTGCGCCAGAGCTGAATCTACCTCAACCGCATGTGTCCTCCAAAAAATACCCTCTGAAAATACACCTGAATGTGAGGATCAAAAGTGCAATAATCCAAATATGATTAACTGTAGTGGAAAAAATATTTCCAGAGGGCATAGGGTCGTCCTTCATTTTTGAATTATGAAGAACCATATGGTAATGTAGCATCGCGTCCATGATATTGGACTCCATGCTCAGCTATGTTCGGTTGCTCATCACGTCCAAGATCTTGGACTCCATGCTCACTTGAACTAGGGATGATTTTTTCGAAAAATCGATTTGAGCATAGCGTCCAAAATTGTGGGATGCAGGTATTCTCTGACAATACACGAGCATAGGGTCCAAAAATGTATTAGGACAATTTTTGTGAAATAAAGGCGAAAAAATGTGTCCTCGAAAAAAATTGTGCATTGCTTACGTTAGGTTAGGTTAGGTTAGATTAGGTTAGGTTAGGTTAGGTTAAGTTAGCTCAAGTTAGATTAGATTTGCGAAGTATACGATGTTCTATCATGATGAGCTTTAAAACCAAGGGAGGTCTGCTTGCTTTTGGACTCCATGCTCAAGCAAAGAAGTGAGAAATTTAGCGATGAGCATGGAGTCCAAGATCTTGGACGAGATAAGCAAGCAAGTATATCAAGGATGAGTATGTATATCTTGGACGCGATGCTACATAATCAAGCATATGACATACAAATACACTTAAATTTTATGCTTGATGATATACATTTTACCTAACTGTTTCCCAAACTCTTATGAGGTAAAATTAGTCCATTATTTGAAAAAGTGGATTCATACAGTTTTGATCCTACAGGCTTGAAATAGAATTAAAACGCAAGGGAAAAGCACAAACCTTAACACTACTTCTGGTTTTATCGAGCCGTGATTTCCTCGACTCGTTATCCCTCTGCTTTGAACTATTCGTTCCCACGGAACCATCCGATTCACTGAAATAAAAAAAAAAAAAAAAAAAAAAAAAAAAAAAAAAAAAAAAAAAAAAAAAAAAAAAAAAAAAANAAAAAAAAAAAAAAAAAAAAAAAACAGATTAAGGAGAAATTGTTTGATATTTGAGGGGCTTGGAGGTCAAGGCACATAAGTGCAGTTTTGGAAGAAATTAAGATATTAATGATTTCAAGTTAAACTATAGTCCTAATGCTTATTCTGTGAAAAATTCGCCCCCAAATTTTGGTTTTTAAGTTTAAAAAAGTCAGCATGAACTTTCTTTCCGCTATAGGATCCATGTAATTTCAAAACTTCAAACACATTTTTCCCGAAATAGCAAAAACTGCACTTACGAGGTCTGTTAGATTAGAAACCGGATTTTGGTCATAACTAGCCCATAATGCGTCCGAATTGAGTTTTCTTGAGCTTTCCTGATAGCTTAAAATATACTTAAGAACGCTAGGTTCACAGATTTTGTTTATTTTGATCTGTGTTTATTCTGTGTCATCTTGAATACGAGTAAGTCAGGTGCGTTTTGCGATTTTAGCATGCGATCACTGACAGAGCAAAGATTCAACATTAAATTTTGTTTTAAACTCGGTATACCTTGTACCGAAACTTTTGGTATATGCTAAGAAAAGTTTACCATGATCATTGTATGAGATGTTCCCACTGTTTTGAATGGGTTAAACGATTCAAAACTGGTCAGGAGTTCGTCAAAAATGAGGAGCATGGGAATCAACCCTCAACGGCGACTGACATTTATCACGAGGAAGAAATGCGGGCAAAAGTGCTCGAAAATGATCGTTTCGAGCTTGTTGAACAGAGTAATATTTCTGAAGGCTCTGTACATACAATTTTGATAGAATATGTAGACACGCATCGAGTTTCAGGTACACTTGCCCCTTGATTGTTGTCCGTTGAACGAAAATCCAACCAAATGTCAAATTACCTTTAGCTGCTTGAACGTTCTAACAATGA